CCTGTGTTAAACATTCTCTGATTGCCTATGATCTGAAAACTAGTTTCAGATCGTTGTTATAGTGCTTTTACTAAATAACATTCATGAAAACAAAAACAATGGTTATACGATTCCTAAAAATTTAACCAACTTCTAAAAATTAAATTCGGCACAGATTATACTATTTTAATTTGCGTTAAAAAATTTACTCAACACATATAAATAATTTGTGAAGTATATTATGGTAATGACTTGTGTGTATATATAAAATGAATAGTAATTTTAAAAAAATGCATTCAATTAGGCTATAATTAAAATCTGGAATGTTATAAAAATGACGTCATATTTTCCAGGTAATATGAGGTCATAAGGAATATATTTGAGTTCTCTTATTTACACCTTTTCATTAAAAATATGATCGACATATTAAATGTGCTTAGTCGCTCTCGAATATCGTTAGTTGTATAATATCACTACAATTTTCAAATAGTGCATTCTTTTCTTTTTTTAGTAATTATAAAATAAACTGATTTACTATTAAAATTATTAATACTATTTTAAATAAATCCTTTCAATTTTGTTTATACTAAAAACATGACACTTCGGTTTTTTAATAAAATATTATCAATACGATTTAAATGTAAATGATTCAATTATATTGTTAAGGAAGAAATATATATTGATTCTTGACTTTATTTTTAGCTGCCACACATGTTACCTCTTCTGAAGATACTCCTCAAATTACTCCTATTGATGAGGAACGTACGCTGACGTATATTGAACCTTTCGGATTGGAAGAACTTCCTATTACTCAAATAATAGTTGAAAAGACTGAAAATGCCCTTCAGACTAATTCTACCAATTTTTCCGGATCGGGCTCGTGGCTATACGAAATAAAGACGAACAAATCATCACCCGACACTGAAAACGAAGGACCGCCACCACCTTTACCGCCAAAAAATAGGCTTCAGCAAAACAGTAGCTTTGTACCAGTGAAAAAATATCAAATGGCTGACGGTTTGCACGTTTATTCAAAAGTAAGTGTTCTATTTCTAAAAATTATTTAGAATTTATGTTAATAAGATTTTTACATTTTAAAAATATGAGATAATAGCTATTAAAATAGTACTTTTTTAGTTGCTTTTTCAATAATTATCATTTGACACGATATGTATGAAAAAATAAATGTTATATTGATTTTGAACGAGAAAATGAGTAAATCAGTTTTTACTTTT